CAATGTGCGCTCAAATATTATATTCATGAAGAACAATGTAATTTGCTGACAAAAAAATCATTTTTTGCTTTGAAGTAAAAGAGCTGTATGAATAAATCTGTTTTGCTAGAAATTTAGTTCCTTCAATTTACAGTCTAAACTTTCATTGGCCAGAATAAATTTAGTTGTCACAAAACGAGTAGATGGAAACGGAAATTTGTTTTTTTGCTAAAAGAGGTTTTCTACAAACCAAAAAGTGGGTTTGTCACTGGTCTATTTTTTTGAGCAATTAAAATACCATTATTTGAAAGAAAAAAACAGGTTGTGCAAGATAACGATTAAAGCAGGAACTTTTAGAGCAACGGATCAACTTGACAGTCCAACTATTTTACAAGCAGACAATTTCTTATCTTTTTTTTTGCCGTTAATCAGTAGCGAAAAATCTGAATACTATTAAGTGGTTGTTTTCAAGAAAATTAGTTTAGAATTTTTTGTAATCTAAAAAGTATATTGAAAACTACAAACACATGACACTTCTGCTTATTAGAGTGAAGAAAACAGTAGGAATATATTCAGTATTAACAGCCAAAAACTCAGCTCAGCACTTTTAGACTTGTTATACCGGTTTTGTACATGACAATCGTTAAACTGGCATTTGTAAGAACATCTGATGTCTTTCTATGGGTCTGTGTGTGCGTACGTTTTCTATATGTGTTTCTGTGTGTAAATTTGCTGACTACTATATCTAAAAATCTGTGAATTCAAAACAAATTCGATATTCATTTGAGCAGAGGTATTTGTAGCAAGAAGGATTCTGACATTCAGCAAAGCTGTATTTTCTAAAATGCGACAGTTAAATGGATAAATTAATATAAACTAGCGAATTATCTGTATGAAAATCTGAATCTGTGGAGCAACTGAGCATCTGAAACTGATTTAATATACGTCAAGACTTATCTGAGTAAACATTTTTTGACGACTAGCTGTCTAAAACTCAAAAAATATGGTACAGTTTCAAAGAATTTTAATTTTGCATACAACAGTCACACTGCTCTAACAGTTGGTTAATGTGTGCTTACCGCTTTGGGTAATACGTAGTGATGAACAATAAGGTTTAGTACAAATTATATGTAATGTAAAATAGAGATCCAAAGCTACAGCACGCTATATTCTATGCTTGGATGGTAAGATTTTTAACATGGCTGCAGATAAATTTCAGTAGACTAACCTCAGAAACAAAAGAAAAAAAAGTCATTTAAGCGTGAATGTTTTGTGGTCAAACGAAAACTTCGTTTAT